TTAGTTATCCATTACAGTAATTTTATTCAAATTAGTCTTCAACTATACTAAATTTGTCCAATTTAATCCTCGAATTATAGTGATTTTTCTCCCCAATTTAGTCATTGATTATAGTAATTTTACCCAAATTAGTCTTCGACTATACTAATTTTTCCCAATTTAATCCTCGATTATAGTAATTTTTCTTCCCAATTTAATCATCGATTATAGTAATTTTACCCAAATTAATCTTCGACTATACTAATTTTGTCTAATTTAATCATCGATTATAGTGATTTTTCTCTATTTAGACCTTGATTCTAACAGCTAATGACTTAATTGAAGATCTAATAAAGTCGTTTATGACTAAATCCAGAAAAATCACAAGTTCCAAATCCAACTATAGTCGCCCCTATCCACCATCGTTGATCTTCTCACAACCAACGCCATCTACCATATATATTTGATGTCATGCATTATATATTTATATATGCTTGTAACCAAACCTGTAACCTTCCACCTACAACTTCATCCACTATCAACACTAGGCCACTAGCTATCTTCCATTATAATCACTCCCATTTGCCTCAATGCCATTTACTAACTTATACCAAAGTAATCTTAAGTCACCGAAACTTTTGTCCAAGAAGTGTGAGTCATTTGTTGTCCCAAATTCTCACTCCTAGCTTGTAATCCGTTAAAGTCTCCCAATGATTCTCAAATTCCAATTAAAAATTGAATCTCCACACTATCGTTAGAGTAAAACTTTAGAGTGATCTATTAAACCAATTGAATTAACTCCGTGGACACCTCATCAGTACCATTTTCCATCCTCTTTCGATGTTATCTCCCATCTTCCATGCCTCCAACCACCACCCTTAGCTTGTCCGCCACGAGCCAACCCCCAGACAAATGCCACAATTGCCAAGAAAAAATACCATCACCACCATCCTAATATCTATTGCCACCAAACTCATCACACCTGCCGCTACTCTTTTGGGTCATCAAGATAACGAGTAAAAAAAAAAAAAAAAAAAAAAAAAAAAAAAAAAAAAAGCTCTTGATACCATGTAGAGAAGTAATTTGTTGTGTTTATTAATAAAATAATGAACACTATTTATACAAGAGTATAACAACTAAATACCAAAGATACATCATAACTAATAACAAGAAAGAGACTAATAACACCTATTCAAAAGGAGACTGAACAAAACAATAGAATGACCAAATTAAAACAAAACACTAAACTTGATCAATGTGAGCCATCCACAATATTCTTGTGATTGAAACGATTGGGGAACTTAATTGAATAGTTATGTTGTGCATCTGTATGCACCATGCATGGTGCATACAGATGCAAAAACGACGTCGTTTTATTAAAAACGCGCGTCTCCCCTTTAAAAAAAAAAATTCAGGTTCGATTCCTAGTAACAACATTATTTTGTTCATTCATTATGGAATTTTAGTTCATGGATTATGGAATTATAGTTCATCGATTATGGAACTATAGTTCATCGATTCTGGAATTATAGTTCATTGATTCTGAAATTTTAGTTCATAGATTCTGGAATTTTAGTTCATTCATTCCGAAAATTTTAGTTCATAGATTAGATTATGGAATTATAGTTTATCAATTATGGAATTATAGTTCATCGATTATGGAATTATAGTTCATCGATTATGGAATTATAGTTTCAAACCTAATTTTTTTTTTTATAAGGGGAGACGCGCGTTTTATAAAAACGACGTCGTTTTTGTATCCGTATGCACCATGCTTGGTGCATACCGATGCACAGCATAATTTGCCAACTTAATTGTAGTGATGCCATTGGTGTCAACTCGTTATGTTTCAAGCTAGTCTTGTTGGGCTTATCAATTCAAGTTTATAGATATTTTTTTAGTCGAGTTTCAAAATTCTTGGTCTTGACCCCAAAACCACTGTTGGGCTTATCCGGAGGCTTAATTAAAACTTTGGACATTATCAAATTAACATTATAAATTTTTAATTTTAATAAACTAACATTACATTAATAAATATAAACTTAAACATCATGCAATCAATCTAAACCTCCATTTTCAAATTCTAGATAAAAATAATTGATATATTTACAATATAATATAATAATTATAATAAATTTATTATTATTTATTTTCATTAAAATATTTTAATTTATTTCATAATATATTTATTAGAATTTTATTTACAAATTTAATTTTAAAAAAAATACTAAATATGAGCTTACATATAAAATATTGTATATTTTGTTCTACATCACTTGTGAAACAAAGAATAGTCTTAAGTGTGGGAACAACCTCTCAAAGTGAGGAGGGTTCCTTGTGTACAATGAGCACCGGTCTAGCCTTTGTGGTTCATGTTCAGTTGAGTTACCATGATTTACATCCTCCCAAATGTTCTGTCGGGTCAGGGTGTGGGGGGCCCTTAGGGTTGGGGTTCAGCCTTTTGGAAGAAGAATAGTCTTAAGTGACTCGAACTATCGGGCTAGCCCGCTGCTTGGGTGATTAGGCTTATCGGGCTAAAATTTCTTGGCCCTAACTCTATATAATTTTTCTGTCTTATCGAGCCAACCCATTAATTTTGAACTAAGATTGATATCTCTACTTAATTGAAGTGCATTATTACAAAAGAGAAAAAATATTATTTGCAAAACAAAGTTAGTTTGGTTAATTTGTCTAGTTACAAACACGTATAATGTATGATAAAAATATGATGGTAAATTATATAATCAAGATTTTATAACTATTATGGGAAAAAAGATAATATATATATATATATATATATATATATATATATATATATATATATATATATATATATATATATAAAGAAAAAAACGGCTAAAAGAAATATCAAATATATATATATATATATATATATATATATATATATATATATATATATATATATATAAAGAAAAAAACGGCTAAAAGAAATATCAATATATAATGCATGTATAAAGAGATCAAAAATGTAAAATGAAAAAGGATTTGTAAGTGTGCAAGAAAGAGGCATAGTGTACATATTAATATATTTAACAATATCATTTAAGACCTTCCAAAAATCAATACCATTTAAGACGTTAATAACTTGGAGGAGAAAGAAAAAAAACAAAGAAAAAATGAAAAGAAATTGTAAGTGTATAAGAGAGAAATCATAATGTACAAAGTAATGTTTTCAAAAATAATAATAATAATAATAATAATGTACAAAGTAATCCTCCATCTTATTATATTAAGACATTTTCTACCTGGCACTGGTCCTCTCACCTAATGAGACATTAAGTCATCGTGATTTACCTCTCCACTACTCTGTCAAGTTAGGGTATAGGGCCCTAGGGGCAATGGAATTTCACATTTTGTGTGCAACACACTTTCTAGTCCAATTAGAATTTTATCCCTTGTACGCACCCGCATTTGGTCCTGTCTGCTGAGCCATTGAGTCACTATGATTTACATCCTCCCAAATGTTCTGTCTATCTGGGGTGTGGAGGTCCCTTGGGGTTTGGTATTCAACCTTTTGGGAGAAGAATTTTATCATCATTGCCTTTTATATAATTTTATTACTAGTTTTACATGCACATTGCGCGAATGAGTTAATGTCCAATGTTTATATTTAAATAAATATTTGAAAGTATATCAAATATTATATATGAGAAGTTCATACATAGGTAATTGAATATTGAATTTGTTTATTTAAATATGTAACTCAAACTATATGAATGCAATATAATATAGGAAATTCATTATAATTGTCACTAACATAAATGTTTGTAATTTTGTAAAATCGATAGTCTAAATACTTGGTCTAAAAATGATAGTCTAAATAAGTATTACTTTTGGTTTGAATTTTTCTAAGTATTCTTAATTCTCTTTTGAGTAACATTGTCATTGTCTTAGTCTTCACTATTTGTCCTCTTCCTTTTTGTTAGCAGTGTGTTATTTGCAATTGGGTTACTGTTGGTAGCATAGATGACAACGTCATGCAATGGGATCATGGTGTAGGAATTGAAGCTATGGATTTTCCTTGTGTATATGACTGGGATCTTAGTTGTACTATGAACTCTTGATCTTGCAAGCGCTTGTTGATATTTTGCAGTGGTATGGTAGTTTGTTCCCCTACATGTTTCATGTGGAAGTATTGAATAAAATATTAATATTTATTATATTTGTATAAGGTTCATGATTAATACCTCTTGTTCTATTTCATAACTTGTTTACTTGATAGTAACAACAATATATAACTCTATAGGTAGTCCGAATATTGATGCTGCAACGTGTCCAGTTTCATCAATAATTTCGACATCCATTTTGCACATGTTCATTTTCAAGGTCATATTTTTAGAATTAGTGGGAATGAGTGTAGTACTTGATTTTGTGTGCGTGTGTGTGTGTGTTTTTTTTTTTTTTATTGAATTGATATTAACCTTCGAGTTAAATTGTTTTCCACTTTGTGCATAATTTTTTTTTAAATAGTGACTACATCTTATATACAAATATTTTTGTTGTGAAAGTTGATGTTGATTTTGCCTGTAACCTAAGCAGGTTGATTCTAGAAGATGAAATGAATTGTAAATTTGTATTAGTTCTAATATATTTAATGAATGCACAATAAATATTTTACATACAGGATAAATAAATGAATCAACGGTGGTTATTTTGAATTTTCTATTAGTATTCTTTTGTATATCATATAAGATTTTGCAATCTTTTATATTAGTAGTTATATATTAGTGAAATGATTAACTTTTTTTAAGAAAAAAAAAATTGTAACAATTTAATATTATCCTATGAATAAAGAGAAAAAAACGTTGAAATGATATTTCCTATTAAAAATGCTATGATGTTGACATATGGCGACGTGTATCATAAAATGAATGATACATGTGTACGAACATGGACCCACGGTGGTCTGGTCAAGGATCTCGTGGTTAGGTTGAATTCTCGTGGACTGCCAACTACAATTCCTAAGTGTTATAAATACAGAACACGAAGATCATATCATCACTACAAGACCAAAATAAAGGAAATAATAATATGGAAACAATAATAATTTCCTCAACTTTTCCATTTTAGGATGGAGTCCTGCACTTCTCTTCCATTCCTCCCCATCAACCATGAAAAATCACAAGCTTTCATGGCAGCTATATGGCTTTTTCTGGCCTCCTAAACCCTAATTGAAGCTAGCCAGAAGCATGCAACAGAAGATGAACCCTAATCTTGCAGGCAGAAGAAAGAAAAAGCTAGCCGCAGCTCAACCCAAAGGTTAAATGAAAGGTTAGTTTTTCACCAGTTTGCTGTTTGGTGTTGCCATTAATGAATATTATTTGTACTTTAAACGGCTTGGTTGACATGAGTGGCCTGGCCGTACACTATCATTTCTTTAGAGATGTCGTCGAGAGTTTAAAACCCTCTTTCGTATGAAAAGCTAATATGGTCAGCACTTTGTCCTTTAATTGGGTCGGCGCGGTGATAAGGAGATTAGTCTAAGTATGATATGGGCCAGCTTAGATCCTACTTTGGACACCTTGTGGTCTAACCAAAAAAAAATATTTTGTGTACTTTGTGTGGTTTAACAGAAAAACCTTTTTTAATTTGTTTTTTGTTTCTTTTATGCATTTAGGAATAAAGAAGTGCAGGAGGGTTGCAGAAAGCTTTTTATGTTTTTGGCTGCTGGAGAGGAATGGCAGAAAAGTGCAGGAGTCCATCATGAATTGGAATAGTTGAAATTTCTTCCATATCACCTTTTTTTTTTCTTTTTAATCTTGATTTCCACTTAATATCATACATATATACATACACATATGAGTATGTGTGCGTATATTTATGTATGTATGTATGTATGGTTATGCTGCATCTTTTATTAATAAAAAGAACTTTGATTGATTGCGGTACATCTTGATGCCCAAGTTATTATTGTGTACTATAAATTATTGCAGCTTATAATTGTAAGAAGAAATAAATGATTGTCAAATTAAGTCCTTCAAATTAGTAGACTAACAGCAGAATAGCCTTAACCAAGGATGTCAGAGATGCCACTAGGGCAAATACAGTCCACAGAACTGTGTAGACTACAGTCCAAAACAACGTCATTGAATTTTATGAGTTAGAATAATGTATATTATGAGTTAGAATAATGTACTTTATGTCTTAGGATAATGAAACTTTTAGAGTAAGATAATATACTTTATAAATTATTAGTTTGTAATGAAAGTCTTTTGCTTGCCTTTTTGTGAAAGATAGCAGCTTATATTAAGTTTTAGAGTTTGATGCCCAAAAGTGTATATGTGTGTGTACGGTATGGATTAGTAAGAAACTAAATGATTGGCCTGCATGGGCAGCTCAACTGGTTATAGAGGTGAAAGCTTGGAAAGAATGACCAGGGATCGAGTCTCATCAGCGGCAGTCCCAGGAGCAACCTGGGCTCCTTGCAAAGGTCTAGCCTTTGTTGTCCATGTTCACTTGTTATACAAGTGATGTAGCTCTTTCACGAACTGCTCCACTATTTAGCTCTTTCTTTCGCAGCAAAGATTTTCCACTAAGTCCCTTTGCTCTTTACTACTTGGCTCTTCAATTCAATGCAAAGATCAATCACCAACCTCCATTGAGGAGTTACTTTGCCTCAAATTGAACAACTACAGTTGCATGTGGTTTTGTGTTTTTCTTCAAAGATAAGGATGTTAGACGAAGTTGGACTCAATGAATTAATCTAGATGATTCAAGATAAGTTTAGAGGTTATCTAGCTTTGCTTTGAAAGTTTGAGATGCTTGAATATTGCTCAGTTTGCTCTCAATGTTGTCATTAACACCTCTAAGCTAGAAGGAGTATTTATTTATACTTGATTGATAGTCTCTGCTTAAATTCAAATTCTTTTGAAATTACTCATTGACACTCCTCCAAAATTTTTAGGGTAATAGTTGTGTCCAAAGGCTATTCCCATTTTGTGTTGCTTTACTTATAAAAGTGGTTTCCTACTAACTTTTCAATACAAGTTGAGTTTTTCCAAATAGTGTAGCAGTCCATGTTGACTTTTCTGCATTGATCTCATGTATCTTTATTGGTCCGACCAAGTTAAAGTCGAGAAAGGAGGGGGTGTTGAATAGACTTTAATTAATTTTTAGTGTTTTGAAAATTTGCGCACTTAGTGCATAGCAAAAGTCTTTTACTTGCCTTTTTTGAAAAAAATTGTTTGTAGATTGTGAGTTTAAAAGGTTGAGTGTATGTGTGTGAATTATGGATTGAATAACATCCCCCTACTCCACTATTATCCCACAACTCTACCATATGAAAATCCTACACAGTACCGCAACCTTGTTGGAGTGCTTCAGTACTTAACCATTACTCGTTCCGATCTCTCCTTTGCAATAAACAAAGTTTGTCAGTTCATGCACTCTCCAAACAGTGAGCACTGGGTGACACTCAAATGAGTTCTAAGGTATGTCAAAAGGACTTTAGACTATGGACTGCATTTTATAAAATCAGTCTCTAATGATATCCATGTTTTTCTCGAACTCTTATTGAACAGGGTGTTTTGATGATCGAAAATCCACTAGTCGTTTTACTGTTTTCATTGACAAAAATTTGATCTCTTGGGCTTGTCGTAAGCAAAAGATAGTGGCAAGATCTTCAACAAAAGCATAATACAAAGTCATAGCAGATGTCTCAGCAAAAGTAACATGGTTAGTTACTCTCATTCGTGAACTTGGACTCACCATAGCAAAACCACCTCGACTCTGATGCAACAATCTTGGTGCCCGTATCTATGTGCAAATCCTATTTTTCGTGCTCGAACTAAGCATGCAGAAACAAACTACAACATAACTTTGTTCGTGACAAAGGTGCATGAAAGGAGCTACAAGTGAATGACATCTCTACAAAGGACAAACTTGCAGACATCTGCACCAAACCACTCACAATTGCTATAATCAATCTTCTAAGGAACAAGCCCAATGTTCTCTCTAAAGAACCTTAAGCTTTAGGGGGTGGTATTAGAGCAACATTATCAGTTGGGGATATTAAGGGGAGAATGTAAGAGTGATTAGGAAAGAGAATGTGGGAAGGGAGAGAAAAAAAAAGAATATAATAATCATAGTCAGGCGCGCCGCACTGCACGCGCCCGCTGGGTGCACTCGTGGCTGTCACGTTTGGCTCTTTTCCTGCTGGGTCCTACCATGCTGCCATTCTCTCGGCCATTGCAGTTGCTTCCCAATTTTCTCTCTCTTTGTTATCTATCATCCATGTAAGCATTAAATACATTAAAAGTAGTGCATTCTCCCCACTTGTTCCCCTGGTGTAGATGCTCTTAAAACTCTGCACTTTATCAATAACTTTAGGATTCCTACTCTATTCTTGAATATTATTGTAACTCTACTTTTACTAGTCATGTTCTAGCTAAAACTATCTCTTGCACCTCTATAAATACATTCCTTCATATACTTTGTAAATACAATTGATCAGTAATAAAACTCTCTCTAGAAATACTTGTTCTGATATGCACTACCTAGCAGCAATCTTCAAAGATCTATTATGTATAAAACACAACTAAGAAAATACAATGAAAAAAAATTCAAATTTTTATTTCAAGGATAAAAACCAAGTTAACCAGGTAATCAAAGAAAACATAAGAATCAAATACAATAGTGGCTTGTAGCCTGATTTTATTAAGAGAAAGTATATAAACTAGTCAAGTGCAAGCGGTACGGCCCACCTCGAGGGTCACTTCTAAGGCATTTAGAGCGGTGAAATACTCCCACCGTGTCAAATATCCTCTTAATTGAGGCCTCATTGGAAAATAATAGCAATGGGACTTTTCACAATGTGCCTCTGGGAGACCCAAGCAATAGCCCCTTGAACAAAATCTATATCGACTGGTGTGGATGATGGGCTAAAGGAGATGTTATAAGTGAGTTGTTGGTTCACCTCAGTGAAGACCAAAGTGTCTGGCGTGACCCCAACATCAACCCCTAGAAATGGAGACACTTTAACAGTGTACATTGAGTTTGCCTCACCAACGTTGGTAACTGTCCTGGAATATGTTAAACTGGTTTTTCCCAACCAAATAGCAAATGAAGGATAGTTAAGTTGTGCCTCGGGTATGCTTGTAACCTGGGAACACTCAACTTTGCGTTGCACGATTTGCTGGATCTCCTGGTCTGTGTAGTTTAGCCCACACAAGTAAGGTATATAGTCATCAGATTGGAGGTCATATATGAGCCCTGGATCACTAGCTCTTGAAGGGTTCACATGGCCACCACCGGTGGCAAAGACATCAGCAGGAACCAACCTTTCATCAAGAATCTTGGTGCCATTTAGGTTGTACTGATCCGCGGTAGTGATGATCGCGGATTTTATAGCAGCTGGAGACCAATCTGGGTGCGCGCTCTTGAGCAATGTCGCGATCCCGCTAAGGTGAGGGGTTGCCATTGATGTCCCAGAAATAATGTTGAAAGTTGCATTTCCATTTCCATTATTTGTGTTGTTGCCCACTGGCCAGGCAGCAAGAATGTTGACCCCCGGGCCGAGAATGTCCGGCTTGAGAATTCCGGGGCTAGCATTGCTAGGCCCTCTGGAGGAGAAAGATGCAACAGATGGGGCAGTCTTTGTGCCAATAAATGTTCCTTTGAACACTATTGTCGCTGTGGGCCAGGAGGTGGAGTTTATATAGTCTTTCACTTTTAACCCATCATTATAACTCAACTCTGTGGCGGGAAGCACATGAGTATCAGCCAAAATGGTGTACCCATCAATGTCCTGATTGAGTAGAATCATGGCGGCTCCACCTGCATCCTTCACTGTTTGGCCTTTATCCACTCTGGCTATCCCACCACCTCTATCACACAACACAACTTTCCCCTTCACATCAACCTTGTCCAATGATCCTGGCCCGCAGAGCGCCGCATCTTCATCTTTTGAGCCAGGGTATATCAATGGCAATAAAGTGGGTGGGAAATTCTCGACCTGGAAAGCCGATTCGCCGTCTAATTGTGCCCCGTTTCCTAGCACGGCTGTGGCTTTAATGGTTCTGTCAATTGTGCTTGCCCCAACTGTGAGGAGCCATGGAGCTTCGTTGGATAAGGTGTAGTAATCCGGGCCTTCATTCCCGGCTGCGCAGCTCACGAAAATGCCCTTTTCCATGGCGGCGAAGGCGCCAATGGCGATGCTGTCTTCAAAGAAAGACGCGGAGCCGCCTCCAAGGGAGAGGGAGAGCACGTCGACGCCGTCGTCAATGGCGGCGTCCATGGCGGCCAGAATGTCGGATTCCGCACACCCATCTTCCGTGCAAACCTTGTAGATGGATAAGTGGGCAAGAGGCGCCATTCCAACCGCCGTCCCTTTCGCACTACCAAACACCGCCGCGTTCCCTACAAAGTTCCCGGCGGCCGTGCTGGCCGTGTGCGTGCCATGCCCTTCCTCATCCACCGGCGGCGGCGGCGGAGACGACCCCTCGCTCACAAAATTCCTCGCACCGATCAGCTTGTTGTTACACGCCGTCCCCTCAAACTCGCACTTCCCCTTCCACTTCGCCGGCGGCGGCGGCATGTTCTCGTCGTTAAACGACGGGTGGTTCGGCGTGATCCCGGTGTCCAAAACCCCCACTATCACACCCTTCCCATAACTCGAGTTTCGCCAAAACCCAAAGTTTTGGTAAAGCCCCAAGAAATTAGGACTATGAGTTGTGTATAGATTATACACCCTTTGACGCCTAGCAGAGATAAACCCTTTCTTCTTCCTCATTTCACTCACCATCTCCGGCGACAGTTTAGCCGCAAACCCAGACGCCACATGGCGATATGAGTGCACTATTCGAGACCTTTCACCTTCATCACCACTCTCTGACACAAATGATCGGAAATAAGATCGGTAATCCTCTGAGACGCCATTAATGGCGGCGGCAGGTGGACTTACATGGACAATGTAAGTATCCTCGTACTTTGCACTAGCAACCGAATGAAACACCAACGTCAAACAAACGACAACAGAAATATAGGCCATGTTTGGAGTACCCTTCATGGCTATTATACAAATTTGATGATTTGATGACTAAAAGCAGGAAGAACGAGTAAGATATATATACACAAACACTGCGTTGCATATATATATATGTATTACTCTATCGCTGCAAATCTGCAATGGCTTAGGTTTCAACGTTGCAAAGCAACATTGGAGCTTTGAGAGAACAAGATTTAATGTAAGACACTAATTTGGGGTTGTTAATGTCGTTGTTTATTCATACAATGCAACCGATTGGCGGATAATTTTATGGTTGCATTTAGTATTATTTAACGACTAAAGAAAGAAGGGTTTGTTAAATTATATTGCACAATCATTTCGATTTTCTTGTCTTACTAGTAACGGTATATGGCATTTTCGGGTTGTTTCTTGCATGAAGGAGGATTTAGAACGTGGGACCTAAAAATGGGAACTTTGGGGGAGTTGGACAAAGGTAGGAAAAGATTAACACGGTAAGTTGCAATAATTGTTATAACATGTAGATTTAAAAATTATGTGTTTGCAACGAATGCATTATGTATTTTTAAATAACTATTTCGTATTTGTATAGACATAACTTAACATGATAAGTATAGACATATAAATTGTTAACTACAGATACATAATATGTAATTGTAAACACATAAGATGTTTATTAACATGTTATGTGTCTACAATTAATGTATTCTGTACATGTAGTTAATGCATTATGTATCTGTAGTTGTCATGTTATGTGTCTGTAATTACCATGTGATGCGCCCTCAATTTTTTATAGGTACATAAATGGTTAACTACAAGTACAAAATGTGTCAACGGCATGCATATACAGAATCTGAAGGTTATTTTTAGACCAGAGTCCACAATGTAAGATAAACCATGGTATAATTTGTCACTAAGTTGGAGACCTTTTTTCGACTCCAAGGTGAACCATACACTTACATAGATTGAAATTTTTTTAACTTCATAAATTATCACTAAATTAGTCAATCTTATTATGTGGTATTAACAAGAATCAAAGTGATATTTCAAATATATTAATCAACCTCCACTCAATCCTACAAACATTATGAAGTCATTTTAATTCATTGGGGACGTAGCCTGCTCTTGTTTTTATATATCCTCTCTCTATATAAAAGGTATTCAGTGCATCTCTATCTCTATATATATTAAAGCAAAATAATATAGTACAAAAAATTTCCGCCCAAAGTGAACGACGTCGTTCCCAGAATATCAGAATATTAAATGACATGCGTAAGAATCCAGGTGAGACCGTTCAGTTACCAAAGAGTTTTAAAAAAATATTATTGTTTCCTTTTATTTTTTTACAGAATCAGTTTCAACCAATCAAATTAAAGACCTAATTTGAAATAGGTTGGTCTCTGCGTTTTCCGATAACATATTTATGTAAATAATTATGTTCACATATTCATTACGCCGAATTGGTTTTTCCAACGATAGTGCAGGCCATGGATATTTAAATAACAGTCTCAGCATTTGTACACTATTGCTCATCTTTGGATCTCACAAGCTCATCTACACGTAATAGCACAAGTTGCAGGCGATACAAGCAGGCAACACTGTACGTTCTTGCAAGTGATATATCCCCAATGAATACACGCAACGCACTGCGTTTGCGAACTGTGAGGGCGTATGACATCCAAGAAAGGAAGTCGTCTTCCGTACTCAAATCCAAAGAAGTTGTGTTCCATGATCAGCAGGTAATTTTTTTTTTGAAACGTACTGTGTAATCTGGAAAAAAGCTTGCATATTACTGACCATTACATCATAATCTAAAATCATAAATTGCGATTGCTTACAGGGCACCTTTTTGCATGCACACATACTGATACGAACCCGTATCAAGCCGGCACCGCTTTGAGTGGGTGCAGACTCCAAAGATGGAATTAGGGGAGGGGAAAAATCAGAGAGAGAGAGGGAGAGATAGAGCGAGAGAGATTTCAGAGAAGGAAGATGAGAGTAGAGAAGAAAAAGATAATAATAATTCGCATGTCTTTCTCCCTAGCATGCAGGGTGATTATATACTAAGTTACTCCTATTATGCTTAGGACTATTATTCCTAATTAATATGATATAATAATGTATTAGGACTAAACTAATGTATCCTATTACGAATAAAATTAGTCTAACAAATGTAATCAACCATCCATGCCGGTTTCCTTCGTTTTCTCCTTGGCATAGTAGCATGGGTTGTTTCTTTTCTTTCTCCCAATTCTTGATTTTCACCTTCTTCTACTGTGGATATACTCGTATCACTCCCCTTCCCTTCGACGACCACCTTGTCCTCAAGGTGGAGATTCGGGTACCATCGTTCCATTTCCTCGGCAGCTTCCCAAGTGGCGTTTTCTGGACTACTATCTAACCATTGCACTAAGACTTGGCGTTGTATTTTTCCATTTTTTAGAACATTCTGTTCCCCACAGAGTGCTAGTAGAGCTGAAATTGGTGATCGGCCCACAATTTGTTCTGGTAATTGGACCTCTATATTTTCTTCAGTTCCTATGTGTTTCTTGAGTTGTGAGACATGGAATACTGAATGAATTCTTGCTTGTGGTAGTAGCTCGAGGCGGTATGCAACTTCCCATATTTTTTCCAAGATGTTGAATTGACCATAATAGCGTCGTGCTAGTTTAGAGTTTCTACGTGCTATTGATATCTGTCTATATAGTTGTAGACGAAGCCAAACCTTATCTCCTACTGAAAATTTCATTTTGCTTTTTTTGGCATTGGCTTTTTGGGCCATGCGATGCTGAGCTTCCCGAAGATTGTGTTTCAGTGGCCTTATCAATCTGTCACGATCCAACAATAATTCATCTAGTGCTTGCACTGTTGGTGTGTCTTTTGTATACAGTGCTAAGGTGGGTGGTGGTCTTGTATTGCCGCAAAATTCTGCCCATCCCAAGTATGACGTCCAATTGGTTGGTTTGATGTGAGTAAAAGCCCTTAAGTATTGCTCTAATACTCGATTCATTACTTCTGTATGCCCGTCAGTCTGTGGATGGTATAATGTGCTTCTCTTCAGTGTTGTGCCACTTAGTGTGACCTTCAAAGTATGTAACTTTAATTGCTCAGCAATTTTGGGTTGCACAAAGTTGTGGGTGCTGCCACTATCTATTAAAATCTGTAACTTTCGGCCATTAACTTCTCCCAAAAGTTTAAGTGATCTGGGATTAACCGGGCCTGCCAATGAGTTTAGACTGGAAATATCTCCTGCGATTATGTCATCTTGCTCATGCACTATGGTTTCTTCTTCTAAGATTGGATCTTCTGTGGTTTGCTGTGTCAATTTTGGCAATTTTCCTTGGGAATCCTCAAAACGAGACTCGCCGAACCGCTTTGTGATATTCTGTAAAAATTCCTTCCATGTAGTTAACATTCCATTCCTTTTCATCCATTGATACCACCCAGAAGCAATCCCTTCCATTGTGAATCCTGATATTCGCAATCGCTGTGTGTCGGGTGTATCATAAAAATCAAAATATTCTTGAATTCTAAATATCCAACCATGAGGGTCTGAGCCATCAAAGCGAGGTAACTCAAGTTTCATATGAAATCGTTGAGTCCCTTGGCCACTCTCCGGTTGCAAAGATGGTTGTAGATGATTATCAGGTGGAGGCCCTAAAATTCCATGTGTTTGAGGTTGCACTGCTGCATTTTTATTTGTTGTTACCATCGTTTCCAACCGTGACACGGAGGTAATGAGTTGTTGAATGAGTTGGTGATTTGTAACAGTTTGTCTATCATATTTTTTTTGAAATTCGGCAATTGCCTGCTCCCAAGGACGAGTTGTTGATGTGGATTGGTTGTCTGACATAATGAAGTAGGATTACAGTTTTGAGTGTGTAAAAGAACAAGAAAGATGAGTTCGATGCAATGAAAGCACCAATTGATACGAACCCGTATCAAGCCGGCACCGCTTCGAGTGGGTGCAGACTCCAAAGATGGAATTAGGGGAGGGGAAAAATCAGAGAGAGAGAGGGAGAGATAGAGCGAGAGAGATTTCAGAGAAGGAAGATGAGAGTAGAGAAGAAAAAGATAATAATAATTCGCATGTCTTTCTCCCTAGCATGCAGGGTGATTATATACTAAGTTACTCCTATTATGCTTAGGACTATTATTCCTAATTAATATGATATAATAATGTATTAGGACTAAACTAATGTATCCTATTACGAATAAAATTAGTCTAACAAATGTAATCAACCATCCATGCCGGTTTCCTTCGTTTTCTCCTTGGCATAGTAGCATGGGTTGTTTCTTTTCTTTCTCCCAATTCTTGATTTTCACCTTCTTCTACTGTGGATATACTCGTATCACATACCCAAGGAATTTGTAGACAAATTCCGGTCGACTTTTACAGAAGGCAAAGTGTATGGTGTTAAGAACTTTGTGGTCATCACTAATTTCTACTCTTTCAAGACCAGCCCACATAAATTCATGATAAAATTCAATTATCAAACTGTTGTAAAAGAGTTGAAGGGTACAAATTTCCCAATGCACATGGACAGGTTGATGGATTTCAAGGCACTAAAAGCTAATCAATCTGTTGATGAGAAGCAACTATTTGGTACGGCTACATTATTATAGTTTTTTAAATTTTTAATGCTCTTACTAACGTTACACTTTTCATTGTAAAAAATGTGTTAGATGTAATTGGCCGTGTGGTAGAGATACATGCTCCCCAAGAAAAGGTAATAAATGGCAAAAACTCAAGGTTGATCACTTTGTAATTGAAGATTCTGAGTATGTCTCTAATTTTCTCCCTTTTATAACTTTGTATTCCTAAAGTGTTTGCAGTCATACCTAACATCTATTAAAAATTGTAGTGGTATTCAATTGGGTTGTACTGTATGGGATGACCACGTAAACAAAGTGGAGGTGTACTACAATTCTGCTACTGAAGAACCACTATTGGTTTTAATACAGTTTTGTAGAGCTCGAACTTGTTTGAAAAGTAACTACTCATTTCTTTACTGAATTTTTTTTTTAATATTTGCTAAAGTTGGTTTAACAATTGTTTTTTTTTTTTCCTATTTAGGTGGTGATATCAAAATCTGTTCATCATATGATGTTACACAACTCCTATTCAATCAACAAAGCCCAGAGTTCATGCAGTTTAGAGAAAGGTATGTAAAAGAATTACACTGTTTATCTACAAATAATATTTGCATATTATTTCTTAACTTCTATAAAAAAAAAAAATGACTCAAGATAGTGTATGATATAATTCTACCCACAGTTTGTGCCTTGAACAAACTCCGATGAGGAGTATTGTTTCACAATCCAGTTTCAACCCTGGAAGTTCATACATTGTCTCCCTCAAGGATGATTTGCAATTAAGAACTTTGACAGAAGTGTATGCAAAGAAGGAGGTACGAAAACAATCACACAAACTAACAAATTAATAATGGTTAACATCTTATTTTGGCTGCTAAATCCTAAGTAATTATATATGATGCAGTTTGGTGAGTTCTGGGTAGCTGCTAGAATAATTTTCATTGACTGTGATGGTGAGTGGTGTTATCCATCGTGTCGTACTAAATCATGCTACAAGAAGTTGGAGCCCCAAAAAGAGTTTCTATATTGCAAGGACTGTGATAGGACTTGGGGAGATGGGATATTGAGGTATAGGATTAAAATCAGGGTTGTAGACATAACAGGAAATGCTCCCTTTGTCATGTGGGATAGGGAATGCACTGAGTTGTTAGGTATGAGTGCATTGGAATTGAAACAGAAAAAATCTCAGGTAACACAATACATTTACCTAATTTCTTAACTACTTATATTTGTGATTCGCTCAATGAACATGTACCCCTATTAAACTTTTATCCTTTTCTACTGTAGGGAAAAAATGGTGTGCCTGCTGAAATTCAATCATTGGTTGGTCTCAACCTAATTTTCAGAATTGCAGTTTGAAGGGAACAGTTTCTAAACCTCCTAAATGCCTTTTCTGTGATGAGGATTATCAATGATATGGAAATGTTAGAGCTACATGCCCCACAGTTGATGCTCGGAAGGGATAAAGACCTTAACTCGAAGTTGGAACTTGACCTTACAGAAGATGATCTTTGGGAAGATGAGGTATTTAGGAGTCATAAATATTGTTAGCTGCCTATTAACTCTGGTCTGAACATTTCTATACCTAACACATAAAACTTAAATGTTTGTTTAGGATGAGTTGAATGTCAATGAAGCCGAGAGTCCTCTATAGGCTATTCCCCTTAATCTCACTGGTGATGCCTATGAAGCAGGGGCAGTTAAAAGGTCCTTGATGGATGAATTTTCAAGTACCCAAAGCTCCAAAAAAACAAAGGAAGTTGTTGTGAAATTAGAAAAATTGAAGGAAGCTTGAAACAGTTTGGACAATGTTTTTTGAGAATTTTAGCCTAAGTTGTAGGCCCTCTCTGGATGAACCCAGATAAACATTTTGGATGTTTTCTAATTAGTTTGTTTGCTGTTAAACTTTGTCCAAACTTTCTTTATGTATTTATTTCCTGCTTTCTATGCTATTTTTCACTAATTTGCAGGACTTCACTTCTATTCCTAAAATAGTCTATCTCAATAATCAAATGACAGGTCTTAACCCAGTTGATAGCCATTTGCATGCATTTCTGTAACACAGAAATTTATAACAAAATCTATAACTACCAAAAAATATGATTGGTAGTTATTACTCATGTTTTTTCGAAAGTTGTTATACTTTTGCAGGTAGCTGGAGTTCAAATATAGAAAACAAACACAAATATTGAATGATCCACGCATCAGAAGATGTTTGTGCCAATCAAGTTCAAGGAACATATGGTGTGCATGAAGATCAAACAACAAGATCCTAGATTGTTAGAGAATATTTTAGGATATCTATAATAAACTAAATAAGTTCTATTTAGATGTAGAACACTATACGATTTGTATCTTAAACACAAGTAGACTATGAAGTGTTATCCTAAAAAAACATTTTTTTTTTTGCAACATGCTTATTAATTGGAAATCGGCATTCATAGCAAATGCAATAAAATAAACTATTAATAGCAGGAAAACACGTATAACAGAAGTTTTCCAACACACAAAAATGAAAAATGTCTTACATACACAGTAAAGTATATATACAAAATAACAATGAAATGTTACCTGCTTTGCCTTGGAAAAACATAGTACAATCTGTATCCCTTCCGCACTCACAACTTTGGATCACCCTGCTAAGTAAATTGCCACAACTGAAGTTAGTCAATGAGAAAAATTAAATTAAAATATCCTAACTAAAACAGTGAGAACTGCACAAATATTCTAAGCTCACAATTACAATAACATGGTTCAAACTTACATTTAAACATTTAGATCTGTTCTGCTATTCTCTTTGGTTACCAAGTATACTTTAGGGTCAGGTAAGATCTCAGATTGTATAAACCAACAAATTCACTGGAAAATCAAAGGTCAAGTTAGAAAAGAAAATTTGGCATATTATACTTCAATTACTAAATGTGTCTTGAAAAGTAGTAAACTAACATTACTGGAAAACACTTCTAAACTCACAATTTGGATAAGAAGTGGAACTTAATCCTCCAAGCAGTGTAAAAGATATGAACTGCATACTCTCTTTGGTTCCCAAGTTGACGTTTGGGTCATCTAAGATCACAGATCTGTAACCCCAACACCTTCACTGCAAAATAAAATGAGGTTTGAGAATAGTTCACATAAAATACTTCAATGTGTAAATGTAGTTTGCAAATTAGTAAAGTAACATGACCTGCTCTGTTTGCAAATTAGTTTGCAAAAAGCCCTGCAAAAACCTATTTTAATAAGCATAACTGAGGGCAAACTTATACTATAACATTAATTGTCCACTTTTTCATATCAAACTCTAACATTACCTGTTGACTAATTGTATACTCGGTTTCGTTACCAACTTTTAAATTGAATGAGTTAAGATCTCACACCTGTGACGAATACACCTTAACTGCAAAATCAAAGGTCATTCTAGAAAATTTTTAACAAAATACTTCAATTACTAAATGTTTTGGAAATTCGTAAAGTAACATTACTGCTAAACACTTATAAACTCACAATTAAATTAAAAGTTTTTAACTTACATTTAAAGACTGTAGAAGATCTGTTCTGCATAATCTATTTGGTTACTAAGTTTAGCTTTGGGTCATCTAAGATATCACAGAGGCTTTGGGTCATCTAAGATATCAAATCTGTGACCCCAACACCTTCACTGCAAAACAAGAAGCATGACTATACTTTTATTCACTAATATGTTCGATTTATAGGAAACTGCAAAAAAATCTAAAAATATCAAATTAGAAATTATCGAAAGTTAAAAAAATCAAATAAACAAAATTTTAGGGTTTAGATGCATGATTCTGAAACTCAAATTTTTGGGTTCTAGATTGTCGATTAAGTAACATCAGTTCACAGAAAAAATCGAAATGAAGCATAAATCCTATATTAAAGCTTATAATTGAATTTTAAAGTAGTAAATCGGAGAAAAGAAGAACCAGGATTAAAAACTTACAAATATAGGTGTGAGACTTCATTTTCATTTTCGCGATTGCTGAATCTACGAGCAAACTCGAACTCAGAGTAGGGTTTCCAAATCGGTAGAGAAATAGGACGAAATCGAGAGATGATGTTTGTAGATTACATACGAACGACACCTGATTACGAACAGAGAGCGCATGATCTGGAAAATAATGTAGAGAAATAGGACGAAATCGAGAGAAAAGGGTGCAAAGCGAGAACTGTGAACGCTGGGTATGAAATGAGAGCATCATTCTCATTTCCAAAATATAACCCAGATCTGATTGTAGCAGATAAGGTCAACAAAGACCCATTACTGCTTCTGGTGAGAAAACTAACACTATGGTTACTTAATGGAGTAATATTTATAATCTCTATATATATTATAAAACTGATTAAAAAATTTGGTTTGAGGATTATATACATTATATATAAAATATATAAACTGGACTATTTCACTTTACATTAAGCATTTACT